GAAAAGTGACAAGCCACCACTCAGTGCTGGGATACAGCCAGCCAGAGCGGGTTCACACCCACCACCAGGTATCTCTGAAACACGCAAGAGCCAGGGTGGAGGCATGGAGAACCGCAGAGCTCCAAACCGTGTGGTTTTCTCCTTTTTTTCCTGCTTCCCGCTATAGGTGGGAGGCAACAGGGAGCAGGTGAGTCACTGCTTATTAAGTGATCCTCTACAAGCAGACAGAGCTGGTGGTGTCCAATTTTGGCTTCGCAGAGGCTGTGGGGAAGCAAGCAAGCAAGCAAGCAGCCAACACTCTTCTTTCTCTCCCCTGCAATACAGCAGGGCAGGGTCAGCCAAGGACACCTGCTGAGCAAATGTCACAAGGAAGGTACCAGGCAGGGTCCTGCAGCTGGGATTCACGGACCACGGCTGTGAGTCACAGGTCCAGGGACATGTCTGCAGTATGTAATCACCACGACATTTCCCCTTAATGCAACGGCAATTCAAAGTCATCCTCTCCGGACTTCAAAGATAACAGGAAACTTGTTCCTGTTGCAGCAGGTCCTGTTCACCGTCACTGGCAGCTCAGAATTTATACCCAAACTATTCCAGTAAATCCCTCAATTTCATTGAGTGTCTCCAGTCCTCCATAATTCTGACCCTTCAGTTTTGTGTTTTACTTTGGTTTTCTGTTATGGCCAACTTTTTCACAGAGTGCAGTGTTTGCTGTGATCACTGAAATAGAATTTCACACTCAACCAGCTCTCCTTTCAGTATGTCCTCTCTCCAACACCCTGGGGGGGCTGTTCCAGTGTTGCTCTATTACCTCGGGATCTATTGAGTGAACAGGGAAGAGAGGCTGGAAGGTGAAGTTAAAATAAGTTTCCATAGCTTGTAAAGCAATTTTAAGAGGAGTCTCTGAAGACAATTCAGGAATCACCAAGTGCCTGGGTGACCAAACTACTGCATATAAAGCAAGAGAGAAATGATGCTCAGCTTCTGCCAGTGTCTATCCCCATTCTCCTGCTGTCTCGTTTCTTCCATGACAATACCAGAGTCTGTCCCCTCCCTGAGGACAGATGTGTTAGCAGGGCCTGTTACGATATGACAAGGGCTAATGGTTTTAAACTAAAAGAGGGTAGATTCAGACTAGATACAAGGAAGAAATTTTTTACAGTGGGGGTGATGAAACACTGGAACAGGTTGCCCAGAGAGGTGGTAGATGCCCCATCCCTGGGAACATTCAAGGCCCCCCATGGATGGGGCTCTGAGCAACCTGATCTACTTGAAGATGTCCCTGCTCACTGCAGGGGGGTTGGAGTAGATGACCTCTAAAGGTCCCTTCCAACCAACCCAAAGCATTCTGATTCTAGCATCTACAGGCAGGTTTCTGGCAACCCCAGCTGTTGTCAACCTTTTTATTTTGTTTGTCTGCCTGAAGAGCCCCCACTTTGTCTAGCAGTAAACAGAAGCACATGAGCTCAACTCAATGAGTCCGTCAGGAACCTTTCACAAATGGGTCTCAAGCGAATGGTGCACATGAAGTATAGAGAAAGTGTTACCCTTTTCCAGTAGCAAAGCGTTAATTGAAGCAGCCAATGCTTGGTTTGTTCTGGGCTCCTACTTCTTTAGGGGTACAGCAAACATACTTCTTCCTTTGCCCTACACATTTGCATGCTATTGTTTCCATAGAAGATGAAAACATTAGCACTGTGTTGGGATTCATTTCACTGTGTCAGCAAAAATACTGCATGAAAGCCATGACATTACACGGGCTGAGTCCTTAGTGCCCATGTAAAGTTGAAGGAAACCCAACTCAGGCAAAATAGATTTTGGGATGAGCTAAGGAGTCTCTTACACAAAGAAAAGGCTGCCTTAAAAGGCTACCTTAACAAGCCTCTCCCTCTCTACAATTCGCATAAATTTGAAAAAATGTGACTCTTGTTTCATGATTGAGGAGGGGAAAAGAATACGTTCGCAAAAAAGTGACTGGGCTCCTGTTTGTTACAGTGTTCTTCTGGGCAATGGGAGATCTTGTTCCCAGATTTAAGTCTGTGAATCAGAACAGAGACTTGAACTTTGGTTGCCAGATCCAATTTCTATCCCATTCCCTCTTAAAAAAAAAAATCCAGACATTCTCATTTCAATCATATATGTATAAAAATAAATATTGACTTGACTCTTTGCCTGTGGCTGAGTCATATATATGCATAAGCATGGTAACTGGTTGAACTATACGAGTTAATTCAACACCTCCTAGCCATGAAGACTGTGGCCAATTTGATGGCTGACTGTAACCACCCTTGAAGAGGAGTACCGATTGCTTCGGTACCTGCTCCCCTCACCACATCTTCATACATCTCTTGCTGCCCCTGAGAAAACTTTTTTTCTCTAGTGACTTATTTCAGGACTGACACACACCTCAGGATGACCAAGCAGAAGGGGAGCAGGATTTTGCAAGCACAGAACACCTAAGATGACACAGACCGTTGGGTTGAGGGACTGAGTGAATTTCACGGTACTGAGAGTTGCAAATGCACATGTAGAAGAAAATGTGTAATTGAGTTTGAGCTGAAGCAGCTCTTACTTGTTTCAACTTCTTTTCAATCCTTCTCATGCTTGAATAACAAAGGATAAATATTTCCTCCCTTACTGATGCTTTTGAGGATCCTCCTAGAACGGTAACAGTTAATTAACTGCATATAATAGCAATGCTCTGTGAGCAGTCAAATACCTTCAGGTATTTGTAACACAGAGAGTAACAATGATAATTCCCTAACGTTTAAAAGCTTAAAAGAGTCAACGAGCATCATCTTCAAAACTCATCCAGATAGAAGAGCTGACGTTTTTCTTAGTAGCTCATCCATATTACCTATACCCGAAATCAAAGCGGGGACAACGAGGCCGACGCTGGTACGCACCATCCCATCGCTGCTCGTAACGCTGCAACTGCTCTATTTAGCACGTAAAAGTCATCAGGCAAAAGTGATGGCTTCAGCTGGCTCTTCAGGCAGGAGCTCAGAGGCTCCTGGAGAAGCGCAACCAGTCAGGCTTTGGACAGATGCTGTTTTGTAGTAGAAACCTCAGCCCTAATCGAATGCAGCGCAGGAGAAGCAACCGGCAAAGAGGGGAGCGTAAAGGATTTAAGAAAGATGGTTCCAGTGTTTGCTTGTGCGTTCGGCCAAATAATTTACCCCACGTATCCTGCAGTTCTCCTGTCTTTACGTGGACATTTCTGAGCCACAGGCACAGGCGAAGCCACCGGCGAGCGCCTCGGCAACACCTCGCTGCGGGGGCCAGAGCACCCTTCTCCCTCCACGCCAGC